CCTCCCCCCCCCCCCGCTGTGCCTCACCAGCTTCCACAGCGTCCCCTCCATGTGCACACTGGCCTCCCCCCGGGTCAGGTTGGTGGTCACGCAGAAGAACGGCAACCACAAGTCCTCAAGGCGCTGAAAACAGAGGGGGGGACAGAGGGGCGGTCAGGGAGGGGGACGACAGGCGGGTGGGGGGGGGGGAAAGACCACGAACCACGAACCACGAGTGAAGCTGCTGCCAAGGAAAGACTGTACAAGAAGCAGAACTGACCAGTAGTTAAGGGGGGGCAGATGACAGGTGAGTGTAGGGAGGGGGTCAGTTCGGGGGGGTGTAGGACGACGAACCACTGGCGAATGGAGCAGACACCAGAGATGGTTAGTCCAGGAGTAGTCCATGAGAAGAGGTCAGGGAGGGGGTCAGGCGGGTAGGGAGGGAGAGGGGAGCGCGGCAGGATGGGACACTTCCGGTGTACAGTGTTCGCAGCTCTAATCACTAAATCACATACATATGCACATACACGCGACCTGCTTTCTTCACACAGACGTGTCTCCCTTCCGTGCCTCCCCGGCGCCTCCCCTACCCACCCACCCACCCGTACCCTACCTGCGCTCCCCGCTCAAACACCCGCTTGACGGCCTGATCGAATGCCGTACCGCTGAACAGCGAAAGTACGGGCAAAGTGATGTCCGACAACAAGTGCCGTACACTTCCCAGCTGCTGAGCGTAGTGCCGTACGCTGTGGTTGAGCGCCTCGCGACCCAGGCCCTGCAGCCCCCGGGGTAAGAGATCAGTGGCCGCCGCAGCGGACGCCATCTCGAGCGCTTGCTAAATCCGATTATAACTTATAGCTTAGTCGCACTGCACCGACAAGCACCAGAAAAACTTCGATATCTATCCTATCTTTACTATACTCTCTTGTGACTAGCGATGTTTGGGAGAAGTGGTAGAGGGATGGGCAAAAAGCTTTACTTACAGCCTTACATACAGCCTAACAGCAATACCAGCGGATTAAAACATGATGTCCACCCCGCAATCTATCACGTATATACATACATGCGTACGTACATGCACACACATACACACACATAGACATACATGCACACATACACCTACATACATACATATACACACTTTCGCACCCCCACCTCACCTGTGCATACAGTGCCGCCATGAAGGCTCCCTGGCTGGTTCCCCCCACCGCATCCAGCGGCACCCCCGCGTCCTCCAGCGCCGTCAGCACCCCTAGGTGGGCCAGGCCCCGGGAGCCCCCACCCGACAACACGATACCCACAGCCTTGCCGGCCATCCAGCGGGCCAACCTGCGCGGACAGTGAGGAGGTGGGGGAGGCGGAGGCGGAGGCGGACGCAGAGGAGTATAGGAGGTGAATCGGGGTTGGGAACCATACATGCCGTGCCGAGTCAAGAAGGGAAAACAACAGCTATTTCCAAACTCCCGCGTCCAAGGTCGCGCGCACGCTGCGAGATGTTGGAGCCCAAAGCAGTGGCGGTGTGTGTGATGGTGGGGCTAGGGCTGGGCGTGTTGGGGAAAATTGAAACAGAGAAGAGCCATGTTGTGTCCCACATGATTATGCATCACGCATGCCGTACCGTTGTGCGGTTTTTCGTTACTGTTCCGTACGATATCGCGCCGTACCTTTGGATATCGGTCCGTCGGCCTAGTCGGATGTGGTGGTGGCGGGACAGGTTGGGACGCCCCGCTAGCCACTCCGCTGTGGCGCTGGGCGTACTGCCGTCACCTGGGTGCAGCAAAACCAACTCTACGCGGCGCAACATGGCGGCACTGCTGGCGCCGTACAGCTGCTGTGCCGCGCCGTACAGGTGGTGTGGGTGCTGACTGCCGCCAACGCCACCAGCGGCGGCCGCCGCCGCCGGTGGCGGCGGCAGCGGCGGAGCTGCCGCCGCTACCGGCGCAGGTAAATGCGCTGGCGCAGCCGGCGGCAGCACCCCGATGTTCAGGTTGGCCGCGCTCGACCGCGACGGAGGCGAGGGCACCGGGGACGGCGGCGGGCGGGCTGCCGCCGCGGCGGCGGCGGTGCCGTCACGCTCCCGTCCGGCGATACTGCCGCCACTGGAATTAGCAAAGCGCGAGGGCGATCGCAACGTGCTGGCGGCCGCGGTGGCACCTGCTGCCGGCGCCGCCGCCGCCGCCGCCAGTTGCGCCGACGACGGCGCGGTGGACAGCGCGGGTGTGAGGCCAGTCCGGCGGGGCTTGGGCCGCGCAAAGGCGGGCGATGCGGAGTTGAACACCAAGATGCTCTCCGGTTGGGACAGGGAAGGGGTGGAGCCCTCCGGGGCGACTAGGAGGATGCAGTCGGCCTAAGGAAAATGCGCGCGCAGGGGTGGTGTGGGGGTGTGGGGGCGGGTGTACGGATAGACCTATCCGTTGAAAATACAGGGGCCACAGGAACCGCAAGAAGCGGGTGTGAGTATATGAGATATGCACGTGCGCGCATGCGCGGGACAATCAACCAAACCGGGAAACCGCGAATCCGCTAGCTTTTATGCATTTATGGGCATGTGTGCGTGAAAGTGGGTGAGAAAAACCACCGCGCGGAGGGGTAACCCGGGGTTGGAGTTGGAGTGCGGCAGGGGAAAGGTAGAATGGGAATTTCGGAAAAAAGATATGTGCGGTTTTTGCCTGTCTAACGAGTGACCTCGGTGACCTCGGTGACCTCGGTGACCTCGGTTGAATCCTAACCCTTACCGCTCCCCCCAAAAAAACACGTTGGACATTGGACGCCGGCAGTTCGTCTCGTCTGAGTTCCTTGCATGTGATCCCCCCCCATCCCAAACACACACACACACGCACACGCACACACACACACACATACACATACACAGACATGCACATACATACCTACATACACACACCTGCGCCACGCACACAGACGACCAAGGCGACGCCGCCACATCCCCCTCCAGCAAAATGAATCTGTACTCCTCCTCCTGGGCAGCCATCCAGCTGGTCACCTGCGCACACATACGACATGTGCATAACATCAAACATGTGCATAACATCAAACATGTGCATAACATCAAACATGTGCATAACATCAAACATGTGCATAACATCAAACATGTGCATAACATCAAACATGTGCATAACATCAAAACGACGTATACGATAACCGTACGGCAAGCCCGGCACGATTCCCCGGCTGCCAAAACTGGGGGCCCAGAAGAACACAAAACGCGCGCGCGGGGACGACTATACCTTCCAGGGGCGGTATAGTGGTAACTGTGGTGTCTGAGGCAGCTGGATTGGGGGTGGCAATGGCTGGTGGCAAAAAGTCTTAAAACAGCCATCCCCACCATCCCCACCATTTCCCCCACCCCTCCCCCGCCCGACCTTGGACCTGTAGAACAGCACGTCCAGCCTCTCGCTGGCGGTTGGAAACTGCAACGACAACACCGTGGCGTCCAGCAGCAGCACCGGACCGAAGGGGGACAGCGCATCCTGCAGGGACATGGAAGGTGGTGTGGTGTGGTGTGGTGTAGGTAAGGTGGTGTGGGTAAGGTGGTGTGGGTAAGGTGGTGT